AATAAAATGCTAAAATGCTAAATGCTAAATGCTCTTTCATGTAGTACAACCCTATCATCTAGAACTAAAGTTCCAGACCCAAAGTTCCCCACCAAAAGCCACTCAGTTTTGTCAGGGCTCAGCCAAAACCTGTTGTCTCCCATCCAGACATGCACAGCCTTCAGGCCCAAGAGGGCAATGACAGCTTCATTTATGTCACTGGGGGTGGTAGAGGAAAGTTAAATGTGACTATCATCAAATCTGATGGTACCTCATCCCATGGTGATATATGATCTCAACCAGCAGCTTCATGTATAAGGTTAAAGAAGAGTGGAAAGAATACTGAACATTGTGACATGCCTCAAGAAGTGAACTGAACCTCTCATTCCTTATCAATGCTGATTGGGACTGGCCTTGGTGGAAGGAGCCAAACCAGCAGAAGACTGGACCACGCAACCACAAAGTTAGCCAAAAAGGATACCATGATTGAGGATATTGAAGGTTGTGGGCAAGGAAAGCAAAGGCAGATGCACTATCCCTATTCCACTCTTGCCAGAACTCATCAACAAGAGCAACCAATGCTATTGGCCTGAAGCCAGTTCTTCCAAACACTTTGAATGCAATCTGTGATTATCTTCATTTTTTTTTTGCCAAACTCAATATCAACAGAGGATCAACAAAATATTATTACTCTCAATAGACCTGCTTAGGAGGAAACCCAGAGATATGATGAAGCAAGATTTCCTGAAAACGAAGAAAATATTGGAGATACAATACAAAGCTGCCTTAGACTGCTGCAGAGTACATAGATGGAAATGGCTGTAATTTCTGCCTCTAAAGCTAACATAGTTTTGTACCTACTCAGACGAATGTAGGAGCACATTAGTTATATTGATCTCTGTTCTTACTGGAAAGCCTGAAATGTTGCATGATTACAGGGCTTACTCAACTGTACCACAAAATCAGTGAGTATGTCTCTAATGACATCTGCAGTGGCTTATGCAAAACTATAATTTTCCAATCTTTACAGTGCAGTTTTTTTTTAATTTCAATAAAAAGCTTATCTTTACCTATGTCCCATGTGAGTGGTTTTTTTTCCATTTCCTTCTTTCCAATGACATACCAAATGCAAGCCATCCAGTGAGCCAGCAGTGCAAACATAGACATCAGCAATGTCAGAACAATTGTACTGTGCTGGGAATAACGATCCAATTTCTGAAGTAGACGTAAAAGGCGTAGTAAACGTACAGTCTTGAGAAGGTGAACAATTGATACCTAAACATGCAAGAAAGTGAGATTATGTTATAGATGCATTTGCAAACAGAATAAAACTGGCCCACTTATTTTCATTTAGGCATGTATTATAATTTAGGATGAACATCAACTACATCAACTATATTTATAAATTGATACTGTCTTTTTATAAAATGCATCCCTTCTATTTGCTTTTTTTAAATAGTACCAAAACCAAGGTAAAATATAAATATTATTGCATTTTAAAAAAACATGAAAAATGTGTTAACATAGTCATTGAAAAAAGTGTCAAAAATTGCTACTGATAACATGCCATCTTAACAATTCTGATTCCATTTGTTCTTGCTCTGTTGTTCTGAATACATACTCAAAGCTAGAATTTGTGTACACTTAGCACAATTTGAAAAAAGACACAGACGCTGCCCTCAACATGACATCCTGAATTTTTATACATATATAAAAAATTTAAGAATCTTTTGATAGCCTACAACTACATTAGTCTCCTTTTTCTTCAGAGACTTTCTGTTTTGGAAGGTGCTGGTAAGTGACAGATTAGTGTATATAGAGCTGCATGAGATTTTTCCCTACCTGATTTGTGACTTTCTTTTAAGGCAATAATGATAATCGTATTTCATGGATCATGGTACACTATTCAGTTTTTCTCAATTTGGTGGAAAACAGTGTTGATGATTTTTGCAAATAGTGGTCACAGGGATCTCCATGGGGAACATCTCCCACCAATTAATATAATAAAGCAAAAATGTGCGGGATTGTGGGATATAACTATGAGGATGTAGGTTTCCCATATACTGAAACAGCCTTTCTGCTCTGCATGTTTCAATGCACAGATTATATTATATTATAATCTGAAAGTTACAATAGAAAAGGAAGAAGAGCAAATCTAAGGATAGGATGGGACTCTGTATACTTCAGTGAAGTTATTTTTTTTTTTTTTGCAGTGGACCAAACTAAACATACCAATTTATAAAAATAATGATGGCAATTTTGTAAATGAAATGTAAATGAATAAATCAAGTCTAATTTCTTTTTATTAATTCCCAAAGCCTTTTCTCTGTTTTCATTGTTCTATCTCTTCCTGTAAGGTCTAAAACACATTTAGAAGCACATTTTCACAACCATATATTTGACAATAAGATATAAAGAGTCAGCATTTGTCTCTTGTGCCTGGCTGGATTTGATATGCTCACAAATACAAGACCTGCTGAACTTCATTTTATGGTTCATCAAGTTTGATCAGTTAGGTTAAACTTTTCAAGCAAAAATGTCGTAAGACAAAAGCAACTAATAGCCATGCAGTTCAGCCACTATAACAGTCTACAGACAAGAAGCTATTTCATTAACCACAGGATTTTTAATTTATACAGAGGGACATGAATAAATGATTAAATAAAAGAATAAATTAAGTAACATTGCACAGCTTGTTACATGGATCTTGTAAGAATACCACAGATCAGAGATCAATTTTGATATAGAGAAGGAATGGAGTTTTGTAGATATGTATGCTTTGTCACAAGAAAGGCCACTTATGAAATAAGTGTATTATCATCCTTCAAATACTGTGCATTTGCATCAAATGTTATAATATGTTATGAGTAATTTTGTGAGATAATGTCTCTGTATGCTTATTCTTTCTTTTCATGTCATTATGGTTTGGATGCTGCTTGTTGCGTATGGAAGATTTATTTCATGGGAAACATTTGGCCTTCAATGCAATATGCATTGTCAGAAATGTACTACAATAGCCTATTATGATGTAAATTAATTCTAGTACAGTAGACCTTGGTTACTGATGGTTTCATTCAACAACCATTTGATATTAGAATGATCCTGAAAAAATAAATTTATGATTAGTGTCTGCATTTATAATTTTCACAGCATCCCTCGGTTATTTGTTCAACATATTTAGGACACATTGACCTATGTCTGACCTGCTTTTTCCTCCCTTCTCACAGAATGGAGAGATCAGTGGCAGAGATTACAAGAGAGTAAACAAGCACATAATGAGGAATACACATTAAAATTACAGTGGCACTGGTAGTCTTCATTCTGCTCCCCCCACCACCTCTTGCAGAATGGTAAGGTTGCTTAAACCAGTAGGATTAGAGAGGAAGAAAACAAATCAAAACAACAACAACAATCAAGCAAGCAAGCAAGCAATCTCCTTCAAAAATCTTTCTTGTATCTGACCCATTTTTTTCCTTCCACCTCATAGAGTGGAGAGATTGGTGAAGAAGGGATTACAAGAGAGTAAGAAGACACATTGTGGAATAAACTGGTTGTTTGAATCATGTGTTCACTGTTGCCAGCCCTGAACATTGTTTCTAAAATGTATTTCCCACTATGTTCTTGCTTATGCTCTTGGAATGCCTTCCTCTCTTATGAATGTAACTACAGATATTAATTTACTTCTTCCTAATTATCCCAGTACCCAATTTAGCATTCGAAAGGGTGGGGCAATGGTTGGGTGGCAAACAAAAGCAGAAATTATGAAATTGATTAGTCCTGAGGGTTTTGAGATGGCTACATGGGGTAGCCTTTGAAGAGTATTCGGAGACTACAACTCGTCCAGAATGCAGCCGCGTGAGCGATTGTGGGTGCACCTCGATACACCCACGTTACACCTATCCTCTGCGAGCTGCACTGGCTACCGATCAGTCTCTGGATACGCTTCAAAGTGCTAGTCGTAACTTATAAAGCCCTTCATAGTATTGGACCTGGGTACTTGAGAGACCGCCTGCTGCCAATTACCTCCCATAGACCCGTTAGATCGCAGAGGGTCGGCCTCCTCCGGGTTCCGTCTACCAGCCAATGCCATCTGGCTACCACCCGGAGGAGGGTCTTCTCTGTAGCAGCTCCGGCCCTTTGGAATGAACTCAGCAGCATAAAAATAAACTAAATCTTAATCTTAATCTTACCACAGTGCCAGTTAAGCATTCCTATGGATGGGGGAATGGAATAAAGGAAAGTACAATCTCATGGTTTTCCACTTAGTGACTGCCTTGCTTAAAAAGAGAATTACCAGTCCCTATTATGGTCAATAAACCAGAACTTCCTGTAATCAGAACTTGGGTGCATTTTACCTCAACTGGGAATTCTAATAAATCAAAGAAGCATTGTAGTTTTAAGGATAGGAAAAGGAAAAAGGACATCACAGCTGAAACTAAAATAATCAGATGGGGGAATAAACATCACAGCTTATAACTGAGTACCTTTCAGGATTTATAGAAAACCCTGGTCTATTAACAGGGTGAAGTTACAAACTAAATTATTTTAACTTAACTTATTGTAATCTGATTCTTTAAAAAAGATCAGAACAGATTTAGGCTTTTAAAAATAGTTTTCATGGGACATAATAATTCTGATTTTATTTTTATTAGAATAAATCAGTTTCTATTTTCAAAGCCAAAATAAATTCTGAATAAAACTGTTGTATTTCCATCTCTTTTGGAATCACTTTAGTGCCATGATTTCCTTTATTTTCTGCTGCTTATTGTTAGAACTTCTCTTTCCTTTTTAGAATGAACATGAACACAGCATGAATCATGTCTTAAATTTGATGAATAGGAAACTGATTTAGAGTGAGGGGGTGATTTCTAGATGAGCTAGATAGGTAATCTTCTCCAATCAAGGATTGCATTCCAAATAATGTCTCATACTTTTATATCAGCAAAATCAGATAGAACTAAAATCTGACCCCAGAAAGGGCAAAAAACAAAACAACAACATCAGCAGCATAGTCTACAAAGCCAACCACTTTAATTCCATTCCTAATAAGTTGAACATAGATTGGAAAGTGAGGATTCTTTTCAGTTCTGATATAACTATCAGAGAAATGTACCTCCCCTTCAATTCAGTCTTTATCTCAGGAGTTTCTAAACTTTTTGCCATGGAATCAGGGCTGGGTTTCAACCGGTTCGCACCGGTCCCTGCGATCCGGTTGGTCGCCGAACCCGGAAGTAAGTAACTTCCGGGAACGGCGAAGCCCCCCCCCGCGCCCGCACGCGCCCGCACACCCGCGCCCGCTCCTTACCCGGTTTTTTTGAATTTCGCGCTTTCCACGCATGCGCAGAACGCCTGCGCGATCCTCCAGGAGCACCTGGAGCATCGCGCAGACGCTAATACGCATGCGCGCGCTGCGTGCGTGCGCATGCGCGCCGCGTGCGTGCGTGAGGACGCCGCCGGCCTCGTTCCAACCGATCCGGTTGGAACGGGGCGAGAAACCCACCCCTGCATGGAATCATTTAGTATATAAACTTAGTATATAAACTATAAACTTAGTCTGAGAGACAGCTTGGGGTAGTGGTTAAGGTTAAGCTAGAAATCAAGAGATTGTGAGTTCTAGGCCAGCTGAATGATTTTGGTCCAGTCACTCCCTCTGAAAATCTTGCCAAAAAAACTGCAGGGACTTGTGTAGGCAATTTCCAAGAATCAGGCATAACTGAGTAGAAAAGAAAAAAAGTCTTAATGTACATACTTAACCTAAAATCCTCACACCAATGAACAATGAAAATAATGCAATGAATAGCATAGTGTAGCGTAGCCTAGCATAGAATAAAAACTTTATTGTCACTTTAAATGGACATTAATCAGCATACATTAAAATGAACTTTTGTTGCATTCAGCTCTCAAAAGATAACCATTATGCGTATACCCACAAACACACACATATATGATACAGAGAAATATCACAGTCTAGTTCAAATGTATACATATATATGGGGGAAAAAGAATCCTGTGAATTTACAAGACAGATAGCATAAGGAACAAAGATGCTACAGAATCTATAGTCCTGCTATAAATGCTTAAAAACTTTCTCCCAGAAGGGAGCTACAGAAACAGACTGTGAAGTGGATGTGGAGGGTATCTAACAATGCTTCAAGTACATAGAACTTATAAGCAGTATCCTGAATAACTGGAAGGGAACTTCCTATAATCTTCTTAGTTGTCCTCATGCCAGATATGGATCTTTTATCTGAGGCACTGCTCCCACCAAACCAAAC